TCGACTGCATCAACAACAAACAAACTTCGCTTTAGAAACGCCTTCTAAAATGCAGCAACAATTACGCTTCGATTTCAAAAACTCGTCCGTTCTATCGATTTTCAGAGGATATCTAGATATGGTCTTTATATTTTCATCGGATATGTTATTTATATTTAATCGATACAAATACAAAAGTGTCGATTGTTGACACTCATTTTTTTCGTCCTAAAAAATATATTATTATTATTATTATTAATTATTAATTTATATTTTGCAGACCCAATTTACAAACTCGTATTACAACAAATCCCGGAGCCCAAAAAAAATCAACCCGAATACCCGAAGAGCCGAGACACCTCAGCCGAAGCCAACCGCCGTAGCTGAGCCATCAAGCTTCCACTGAGCCACCATGGGTCGTCACTGCATATGTCAACGAACATCTTCACAATATCAGACAAAATCCCATTCAAACCCACTCAAATCCCACAAACAATAAAAAAATTGAAACCTAATCGTCCATTAAAGAATCCTCAGTGGAACAACCACCAGGATGAAGCATAAAGACAGAGGGCTCGGTTCATCGAAAAAAAAAGGGATAAAGACAGAGGGCTCGGTTTTTCAACAAGGGGAATTCACAGGGGAACGAAAACCTAAAAAAGATCATTTGTAATAGAGGATTGAGCCTCCATTGAAGAAAGACATAACCATTGTATTCAACTTCAATCAAGAATAGAATACTGAACGGAGTTTTTTTTTTAAGGTATATATATCATTTTCTTTGTTTGTTTGTTTCTTTTATTCAAATCGAAACCAACAGTGGAATCATAGGCTCATTAGGTGTTTAACAATTTCACATTTCAGCAAGAAATCATACACGAAAATTATAAGCAAAATAAGATTTCGATATAAAAATAATAATATTAAAACAAAGAGGATTTGGGGTTGATTTACCTGAGTCGTGCGAATTCCCGTGGAGTCTCGATGACTCCATGTTATTTTTCGTTTGGGTCTTGTTGACCAGTGTGAAGAGCTTAGAAGCTCTTTGATGGGTGTTGAAATCGGCTCTGTGTGTGGCCGAGAAAGAATTGGGAGAGTGGAGAGAAAGGAGGCGCATGTTCTGTGAAGTTGGGATTGGGTTTAGTATATATATTATTTTATTTAAGTTAAATGCTAAGCTAAAGTTACAAACCAAATGGCAGTGTTTAGGTTTAGTGAAACTCACGCCTGGCAAAAGGAAAAATCATGTGTGTGATCCTCTGATCTTTAAATTATTGTGTTTTGGTCTTAAAGTTTCTAAAGTTTCTGTTAATGGCTCCTAAGTTGACGCGTATTTCATATTAGTCCTCAATTCGAGCTTTTTAAGTTTTAAATTTGGTCTTTATATTTTATGCGCATTTGATTTTAGTCCCGGATGCTAAGATATTTTTTTTTTAATTTACACATTTGGTCTTCAAGTTTTTGCATGTTCTATTTTAGTCAATTTGGTTTGTTAAATTGAATTTTGCATTGTTTGTGTTTTTGGCCTACTACTTTAAAAAATTTTACTTTAATCCCTATATTTATCATCGGATCCCGTTAACTTTAGTGATAAGGTTGTTTTTTTAGTTAGTGGATCATTGTGCTTATGTTTAAAGTTAGATTCTTTTAATTATGTAATATATTTGTTGACTAACTCACGTGGTTGTTGTGTTATATATATATATATTATGTATGTTTACTTTACTTTTATATTGTATATTAAAAGTATGGTAATTCCCATAATATTATATGTCTTTTACTTTGTAAACATATATAGTATATAATATATTTTGTAAACATATATTATTTAAGTATATTATATATACATAGGTTATATATAGTAGGTAGAATGTATATCTATTTTATTATCCATATTATGTAATACATATTATAGCATATATGCGTAACATTTTTTGTATATATATAATTATTTTTAGTAATTTACTCATATATATATATGATTTATGCATATTATTATTTTTATTAAACATCAATTTATTAATATATATATATATATATATATATATATATATATATTTAGTTGATAATTTAGTATTGGTACAAAATCATTTTTGTTTGTTTGCATATAGTTAGTCATTTTTTACATGAATAGTATAATATCTTCATTAATATCACTTAACTCGATTTGAAATAAATTGACTAAGAGTAATATTCGATTATTTTATAATTATCGAAAGAAACTTTCTAATACATGAATATTTAATATATTTTAATATATAACATTAAGTATTAATACTAGAACTTACATTTTAGATTTGAGCCCCTATGTTCCTTAATTTTCATAATTTGACATTTTAAGTTAAAAAAAGGCCTTGATTTACTTTTAGTTTAATTAGGACAAATAAAATTTTATTTGATTGCGTTGTTTTTACAAATCTAAGGCACTGTTCACTTATTTAGGAATTAATAGTATCCTCCGCGATCGTGCTCAGGGGGTGACTACTGGTAATTCCCCAAATAAGTCAACATCCTTTTTAAACCACATCATGTTTCTAAAAATGAGGCAATGTTCGGTTATTAGACAGAATAGCTGATCTCCCGCATTTACGCTCGGGGGCGAATGCTATCGGTCTCAATAAACGAATACCCTTTTCAAACTCTACATCCTTAATGATTTTTAAATTAAATAAAGATCGAACTCAAAATTTCCGATTTTAAATATAGGGTAATCAACTAGGTACCAATTTTTGGGCGCTTGTGGGGGTGCTAATCCTTCCCCACGCGTAACCGACTCCCGAACCTGATTTCTGGATTTTGCAGACCTCAAAAACTCGGTATTTTATTAAAATAAAAATATTTTAAAATCACCCGGTTTTTATGGTGTTCCAATCTCACCTTAAATGATTGGTGGCGACTCCTCACCTTTTGAAACGATTTTCAAAGAGAAACCCCCCAAGTCGATATCGGTCTTTTCCCTTCGGGCGAAAAACGGTTACGACAGCTTGGCGACTCCGCTGGGGACTTTTGTTTTTTTAAACAAATTGAGAGTCGAGCCACGAGTTGGTTACCCTATATTTATTATTTGGAAATTATGAGTTCAATCTTGTTTAATTTACGATTCATTATGTTATTTCAAAAAAAACAAAAAAAAAGATTTTCTCTCTGATTAATGCTTACATTTCTGTGAAATATTTAGAATTGTTGCATATCATAGCTCTAAACCTGAGCTCAATCCTAGTATACTTAAGTAGAGAGAAACGTCACACCTCATGAGGAGCATTGGGCTTTCTTGTGTGGGTCTGACAAAGTATCTCTGGAAAGCACCCTAAGTTGCCTATCCGGATATCAGTTCCGAGGTACGCTTTTAGTGGTGTGATCCCCTGAGCTGAACCCGATTCACAAGTCTGTAATGGGCCAGAATTGGGGTCAACCTTATCAGGTTGTAAAAATAGCTTGGGAACATTCGCTAGAACCCAGCCTCATATAGAGAATTTAGTAAGTCTACCTCGTTAGAGCCATGTGGATAACCTAGGAGAACTAGAACGCATGCGGTTAGGACCATGAATTTCCTTTGTATGCTTTATTTTTTTAGTCTCAAGTTTAAGTCATATTTAAGATTATATATATATTTTTTACTAATCATTTCAACTAAATTGATTTTTGTTGTCTTGTTTCTACTAACATTGATTTTCTTTTGTATGCTCTTATTGCATTTTTGCATGTATCATTGTCATATCACATCATTTCATAAACGATATTGATTTCCAGATTACCTAGTTATTATAAAAAGAGCTTAAGGCAGCAATGTCTTCCGATAGGACTGAGAATGCAATCAGTGTTCAGACCTGGTTCGAGTATGGGAAGACGCAGTTCAGAGACATCCTTGTCACTACCGAAGAATCAGTTTTGCCAGAGAATGTAATTATCCGAGCCTGGTAGTACGCTCAGAGACTGAGAGATCAAAGAGATGAGGCTAACCAGGAATTAGCACAAAGGCGAGTACAAATTAAGCAGTTCGAAGCACATCTGTTTGGATAAGACTTTTTAGAACCCTTACAACAGCAATGAGTTCCTTCTTCAAAAAGAAAATGGGATATTAAAAGAAGAAGATAGAGGAGTTAGGAGCAGGGTTGATCCACCCATTCGCACAAGAGGCTCAGGACACCATTCAAATGCAACATGAAGCAATGGAGAGAGCAGTGGATCAGGCTCGTGATGTAGCTCGCCAAGTTTATGAATTATCTGAAGAAGCGACAGCTTTAAGAGTTTTTGTGATTCCAGAATCAGAGGAAGAACGCCGCATCATGGGATTGATGATAGAGCTCGAGAGATTAGGGAATAGGGCAAGATTCTATGTTTAGTAATCATGTCGATATAATCTCTTTGCCTAAGTGCTTAGACGTTGTGTGTTGTTGAGTACTTTTTATATAAACTAAGTTATTTTGGAATCAATATCGGGTTGCATTTGCATTAGCATTTTCATATGTTTTTTTTTTCTAAATTTTTAAAATCTTAATGATTACATTATAACAATTCATTCATTAAAATTCACCAAATAATAAAATACAATTTCCAATCATTTGTAGTTATTCTGGCATACACCTCACACCCATACGGTACTCGTCAATCAACCAAGAAAATGGATGACAAGATCGCACAAATTGAAAAAACTCAAGCTGAAATGCAAGAGAATTTAAAGAAAGCGCAAGAGGATATGCGCGAACAGATGATGAAGGCTCAAGACGACATGATGGCAAAGTTGATTAGTTTGCTACAAGGAAATAGTATAATCCGAGAAGAGACTCCAGTTATCCGTCATACTGCCGAAGAACCATTATATCCCCCTGGTTTCACACCACCGCATTTCCACGCACAACAACCACAACCATCCAACCAAAAAAATACAAGTAAACCTACCTGGCTCTTCTACAAACCCGCAACCAATTGAAGATGTCCCTGATCTGGATGAGGAAGACAAAAAAGAACATGATAAGGAGATTAAGAAAGAATGGGAACAAATGAAGCATGAATTCCGAGCTATGAAAGAAGATGCTAGCCTATATGGAATTGACGCCAGAGAGCTAAGTCTGGTCCCTGATTTAGTGTTGCCGCCGAAGTTCAAAGTTCCAGATTTCGAGAAATTTGATGGCACCAGTTGTCCTTCTGCACACGTTACCATGTTTTGCAGAAAAATGACAGGCTATGTGGGAAACGATCAGTTATTAATTCATTGTTTTCAAGAAAGCCTGGCAGGATCAGCAATTCGTTGGTACAATCAGCTAAGTCGGGCTAATATTAAATCCTGGAAGGATTTAGCTAAGGCTTTTCTAGAGCAATATAAGCATATAAAAGATGTGAGGCCAAACCGAATTCTGTTACAGAGTATGGAAAAAAGATCCAACGAGAGCTTCAGGCAGTATGCCCAAAGGTGGAGAGATGTGGCTGTGCAAGTTCATCCACCATTAGAGGAGGAAGAAACTAATATGTTCTTTGTAAATACTCTGAGGGCCCCTTTCTTTGGACATCTTATTGGAAATTCGTCCAAGAATTTTGCTGATATAGTTAATGCAGGAGAAATGATTGAGATGGCGATCAAAAGCGGGAAACTAGACGGGGAGAATCTAGCCGAAAGCCTCCAGCAAGAAGGAAGGATAATGAGGTCAGTAATGTGAAGAAATATGATTCTAATAACATTACAGTATCTCGACCACAAGCCACTGTATCGTCAGCACTAAATCCTGTCCAGCAAGGGGCGAAAGAACCAAGACAGGAAAGGGAAAGGGTTCAATTTGACCCTATCCCCATGACCTATAAAGAACTATTCCAGATCCTGTATGACAAACATGTGGTGTCACCTTACCACACTTCTCCAATACAGCCTCCTTACCCAAAATGGTTTGACATCAATGCTCAATGTGAGTATCATGCAGGGGCATCGGGGCATTCAATTGAAAACTGTATGGCCTTTAAAAAGTTGGTGCAGAGATTAAGACAAAGAAATGTCATCAATTTTGGTGACAGCGAGCAGCCCAATGTGGCTCAGAACCCACTGCCGAACCATGCAGGGACAGGGGTTAATGCTGTTATTGAAGAAAAAGGGAACGAAATCATTACCAAAGTCAAAGAAGTGAAGTCACCCATGCATTGGGTATGGGGGCAAATGGTCAAAATAGGCTGGTTGACCTTTAATGCTAACGAAAATAAGCATGCTTGCCCCTACCACCGTTGCGAGGATCATGTCATTCAAAGTTGTGATGAGTTTAAGGCTTTGGTTCAAAGGCTGATGGATAGTAAAGATATGGAATTTTACCATAAAGCTAAGAAAGAGAAAGAGATTGAGATTTGCGCTTCCGAAGACACATCTAAGGGAGTTTACAATACCAACTGCCCTTTAGTCATCACACCGAAAGCCCAGACTATGGAAAGGTTAATCCCTAAATAGTGATCACGCCTCCGTCGTCCTTTCCTTATAAGGACAACAAGCAGGTCCCTTGGAGGTATGGATGCCAATTAAAGAATGTTGAGAGTTCAGAGGCTGCTAAGGAAGAAGTGGACGAGGTAGGCCATTTCACCAGAAGTGGGAGATGTTATTCTCCCAACCATACCAGTGAACCCGAGAAAAGAACGATCGTTGATAAAGGAAAAAGGGTTGAGATATTATTGAAAAATGATGAGCCAACAATTAATGAGCATGTAACCGAGAATGATGCTGTAGAGTTTTTAAAATTCTTGAAACATAGCGAATATAGCATTGTTGAACAATTACACAAATTGCCAGCTCGTATCTCAATCCTAGCTTTACTATTAAGCTCTGAGGCACATCGAAACGCCTTGTTGAAAATCTTGAATCAGACCTTCGTACCGAAAGATGTACCAGTGGAAAAAATAGACCGACTGGTTGCAAATATTCAGGCGGATAACTTCATCTCTTTCTCTGATGATGAGATCCCGTCCGGAATGATGGGCAATCCCAAAGCCCTGCACATTACCATCCAATGCAAGGGACATGTGTTATCGCGAGTACTAATTGACAACGGCTCTGCCCTGAATGTGATGCCATTAGTAACCTTGAAGAAATTACCAGTCGATAGTACACACATGAGAAATTGCCAAAGCATCGTTCGAGCTTTCGACGGAACAAAGAAGGAGGTGCTAGGGAAGATTGATATTCCTTTAACCATAGGCCCATCAACATACGAGGTTGAATTCCTTGTAATGGATATAATGCCCTCCTATAACTGCTTGTTAGGAAGGCCATGGATCCACCAGGCAGGAGTCGTTCCATCTACTCTGCATCAGAAACTCAAATTTGTAATTGAGGGGAGATTGGTATGCCTTAATGCCGAGGAAGATATCATTGCTTCCATATCTACTACCGCTCCATATGTTGAAGTAGATGAAGATGTAGTCGAGTGCTCTTTCAGAGCCCTGGAATTTATTAATGCCACATTTGTTGCTGAAAGAAAGAAAATTCCAAAGCCTAGGCTATCAAATTATACCAAAATGGGACTGAAAATGACCCTGGGAAGAGGAGCCAAGGTTGGAAGAGGGCTAGGGAGTCGCTTACAGGGGAATATTAGTCCAATTTTTCCCGGTTTTAAGCTAGATCGTTTTGGTCTAGGATATCACCCGACCTTAAAGGAAAAATTGAAAAATGTTCAAAAGAGCCAGGAAAAGAGAGCCAGGTTAGCCAGAGAGGATATTAAGTGGGAGCCTATGATTTTCCCATCGCTGCGTGACACCTTCATATCAGGGGCCACATGTTTCAGGGGGACCGATCATCTAAAGAGCCTATTATTGAAAATGCCCTGAGGGATTTGGGTATAAATGTGATATCAGAGGAAGGAATCGAAGATGGAGTGGCTATGGACATTTACCCTGCACCACCAGGCTTTGTGCTAAACAATTGGACTGCAGAAGAATTACCTGTAGTTTACAAAACTATTTCAGAGTAATGCACAAAAACTTTCCCTATTGTCTAAACCTTGAGACAATATGTGATCTTCTGTAAGGGGTTAATCTATCTGTTTTTTAATAAATGATGCATTCCTGTTAATTCACGAAATGGAAAACATCATCTATTGCATTTTTTTATTTATTTCTTTATTATATATTATTATTTCATTCTATTTTGATATGGGTTAGATCCTCCCGTATTTGTATATGTATATATATCCTCTCGTTCGTTATTCTTTCAGGACCTCCGGTATCAATAGTATAAATGCTGATGACTTTGACCCGAAGATAGATTTCGAGCTGCCCATATGTCAAGGGGAAGTTGAAGGTTATGATAGTGATGAGGGAAGTGACTTACCTTCTGAACTACTAAAAATGGTAGAGAGAGAAGATAAACAAATTCTGCCTCATGAAGAGCCCATTGAGATCTTGAATCTGGGATCAGAGGAAGATAAAAAGGAGATAAAAATTGGCACCATCATATCTACTGAGGGACGAAAAAGTCTGATTATGCTGCTCCAAGACTACAAAGATGTGTTTGCTTGGTCGTATGAGGACATGCCAGGTTTAGACACTGAGTTAGTGGTACATAAATTGCCAATAAAGCCTGAATGTAAACCGGTACAACAAAAGCTCAGAAGGATGCGACCTGAAATGTTGCTTAAAATTAAAGAAGAAGTAAAGAAGCAATTCGATGCTGGGTTCCTAAAAGTAGCCAAGTATCCGGAATGGGTAGCGAATGTTGTTCCAGTACCAAAAAAAGATGGAAAAGTTCGTATGTGTGTCGACTACAGAGATCTTAATCGAGCCAGTCCGAAAGATAATTTCCCTTTGCCACACATAGACACCCTGGTGGATAATACGGCTGGAAATTTTCTATTTTCATTTATGGATGGGTTTTCAGGTTACAATCAAATAAAGATGCATCCAGATGATATGGAAAAGACTACATTTATCACCATGTGGGGCACGTTCTGTTACAAGGTGATGCCGTTTGGGCTGAAGAATGCAGGGGCAACCTATCAAAGGGCCATGGTAACACTATTCCATGACATGATGCATAAGGAAATAGAGGTCTACGTTGATGATATGATTGTTAAAGCTAAAACGGAGGAAGAACACATCGAGAATCTGAGGAAACTCTTCCAAAGATTAAGGAAATGCCAGTTAAAACTCAATCCAAGCAAGTGTACCTTCGGGGTAACATCGGGAAAACTCTTGGGGTTTGTAGTAAGCAAAAAAGGGATTGAAGTGGATCCTGACAAGGTTAAAGCTATTCAGAATTTACCACCCCCACAAACACAAAAAGAAGTTCGAGGATTCCTGGGAAGATTAAACTATATTGCCCGATTTATTTCGCAATTAACCGAGAAGTGTGACCCTATTTTTCGCCTTCTCTGTAAAAATAACCCAGGAGTATGGAATGATGATTGCCAAGGAGCTTTTGAAGCAATAAAAGGATATTTATCGAATGCTCCAGTCTTAATGCCACCAATATCAGGCAAACCATTAATCCTCTACTTGTCAATCTTTGAGAATTCAATGGGGTGTGTATTAGGGCAACATGATCAAACTGAAAAAGAGAAAGAGCAATCTATTACCTCAGCAAAAAGTTCACTGATTGTGAGGTAAGGTACTCGTCAATAGAAAAGTTGTGTTGTGCTTTAGTTTGGACTACCCGAAGGCTCAGGCAGTATATGTTGTATCACACTACTTGGCTGATATCTAAACTTGATCCTCTGAAATATCTAATGGGTGTACCTGCTTTATCTGGAAGATTGGCTCGTTGGCAAATCTTATTGTCTGAATTTGATATCCAATATGTAAGCCAAAAAGCAGTTAAAGGAAGTGTTGTGGCCGATTTCATTGCAAGTAGGGCTTCTGAAGAGTATGAACCACTGAACTTTGATTTTCCAGACGAAGATTTAATGGTTATTTCAAATGAGGAGGTAGTTTCCTCTAATAATGAACAGTGGAAGATGAATTTCGATGGTGCCTCGAATGCCTTGGGGCACGGGATTGGGGCAATTCTCGTCTCACCTGGTGGAAAACACTATCCTTTCACCAGCCGATTGAATTTTGATTGCACAAATAACATGGCCGAGTATGAAGCATGTATTCTGGGTCTTAGAGCAGCCATTGAGCGTAAAGTGAAAACACTCAAAGTATACGGGGATTCAGCACTGGTAATTTATCAACTCAGAGGTGAATGGGAAACAAAGGATACGAAGTTGGTGGAATACCGTAAGTTGGTCCTAGAGCTCATTAAAGAATTCGAGAGAGTGACATTCCATTACCTTCCCAGAGAAGAGAATCAAATGGCGGATGCTCTGGCCACTTTGGCAGCAGCCTACAAAGTCAATGAATATTCAAGCATGATGCCTATTACGATGCAAGCTTACGGGTATCCAGCCCATTGCTATAGCATAGAAGATGAAAATGATGTAAATCCTTGGTATTACGACATCATTCAATACATTAAATATCAAAGTTACCCTGAGCATGCCACTGAGAATGACAAAGAACTATTCGAAGAATGACGGTAGGGTATGTGCTTGATGGTGATATCTTGTACAAGAAGTCATGATCAGGTCTTGTTGCGATGTGTGATGCCAAAGAAGCCAGAACGATTATTGAAGAAGTGCATGAAGGAGTATGTGGTACTCATGCTAATGGACACGCAATGGCTAAACAAATAATGAGATTTGGATATTATTGGTCAACCCTGGAAACTGATTGTATCAATTTCTCCAGAAAATGTCACAAATGCCAGATTTATGGAGATAAGCTCCACACCCCTCCTCATCCATTGCACGTAATGACTGCTCCATGGCCATTCTCTATGTGGGGCATGGATGTCATTGGGCAAATTTTACCCAAAGCTTCTAATGGCCATCGTTTTATATTCGTGGCAATAGACTACTTCACTAAGTGGGTAGAAGCGGCCTCCTATGCAAATGTCACTCAGTCAACAGTTTGCAAGTTCCTGAAGAGAGAAATTATTTGTCGGTATGGGCTACCAGAAAGGATCATCACCGATAATGCCTTGAATTTAAACAATAAGATGATGGAGTCAGTATGTAAACAGTTTCCAGATTAAACATCATAATTCCACCACTTATCGCCCAAAGATGAATGGAGCGGTAGAGGCAGCTAATAAGAACATCAAGAGGCTCATACAGAAAATGACTGAGACTTATAGAGACTGGCATGAGAAGCTACCATTCGCTCTGTTTGCTTATCGAACTTCAGTAAGGACGTCCACTGGGGCAACTCCGTTTTCTTTAGTTTATGGCATGGAGGCTGTGTTACCCATTGAGGTCGAGATTCCGTCACTACGAGTGCTGTCAGAGGTTAAGTTAGATGAAGCAGAATGGGTGCAATCTAGGTATGATCAGTTGAACCTGATTGAGGAAAAAAGATTAAAAGCTATCTGTTATGGGCAAATGTACCAGAAACGTATGATAAGGGCACATAATAAAAAGGTTCGTCCACGAGAGTTTCAAGAAGGAGACTTGGTGCTAAAAAAGATTTTGTCAATTCAGAAAGACTTTCGAGGAAAATGGATGCCAAATTGGGAAGGACCTTATGTCGTAAAGAGGGCCTTTTCTGGAGGAGCTTTGATCCTCACCGAGATGGATGGACCAGAGTTACCTAACCCTGTGAATGCTGATGTAGTCAAGAAGTATTTCGCTTGAAAAAAAATGAAAAAGACAAAAAATGAAAAATGAAAGAAAGAGAAAAAAATGAGAAAAATAAAAGGAGGGTTCAAGATGAAAACCCATAAAGGGCGTCTTGAAACCAGAGAAGGTCTCAGGTTGAAAACTCGTAAAGGGCGGCTTGAGAATTGTGTAAATTCAGAATTCGTGCATGGTGGAGCTGGATTAGTTGGGTAACCAGAAAGTAAATGAGATTCAAACACTGGCTTATGGCATTCAACAGTCGGGAATTTGGTAGTATAGGGGGAACTTCACACCCTTACGCATTACCATAATCCTCAAGATCCCCTTGACAGAAGCTACACTCGGGTCCTTTTACGGCGTGCCATTTCAAAAGCATTCATACTATTGATGTCTGATGACGCCTACTGTGTTTCCTTTTGATTATTCCAGTTAAAAGTTTGTCATGTATTTATCTAAAAACTCTTTATTTATAAATAAAAATATGTTTTTAACCGCATTGCAAGCATCCTGATTAAAAATAAAAACATGTAGATTAGCTCGGGAAATATGAGATCATTGTGCATTATTGTTCAAAAAGTTTTGGAAAATGCAAATATTCCGAAGCTGAAAATGGTTTTAGCATAAGGCTTACATAATGTCAAGCCACGAGAAGTTAAAGCCTTGGAATACACGCGATTGCTCAACAATGTGGGATAACCAAAGAGGTTTTGTCACTAATTAAATAACGGGTCATGAGAAGCACATGGGTTCAAAGAGTAAAGAGAATCAGAGTCAGGCTCAACCAAAGAATGTTCAACCAGGGTTGTCGATTGAGGTGGACTGCTGTTGATTTTTTTATGCCCAAATCAATCTGAAGTACAATGATGTTAACAAAAGAAAGTTCTCGTTTGAAAAGAAAATACCCTAAAAATAACTGCATCATTGCACACATTTTAGGCATAAACAGGATCATGACATGAATTGCATAATAATGAGTGCTTGCAGGTTTTCTTAAAAGAAAGGACAGAGATGTAAAGACCAACCATAGAAATCACCAATTCGAATTTCCATGTTTGGTCGTGGCGAGACAAGCTTATACAAAAGAAATATCTTCCAAAAATTATTATCCCAAGACTTTCAGGTATGATGTTTTCGAATCCTCAAACACATACTAATAAAGGTTAATGTTTAATTTTCAGGTTTGATCCCAATTCAATGGATCAACTCCCCCAGATCTGATATTCCCTTCAGAGTAATTGGAACATGTCTCTCTTCTCCAAGATTTGATATTCCCTTCAGAGTAAGTGGAACAAGTCTGCTTCGATTCAATGGATCAACTTCTCAGATCTGATATTCCCTTCAGAGTAAGTGGAACAGGTCTCTCTTCTTTAAGATTTGATATTCCCTTCAGAGTAAGCGGAACAAGTCTCTTCTCCAAGATTTGATATTCCCTTCAGAGTAAGTGGAACAAGTCTGCTGATTCAATGGATAAACTTCCCCAGATCTGATATTCCCTTCAGAGTAAGCAGAACAGGTCTCTCTTTTCCAAGATTTGATATTCCCTTTAGAGAAAGTGGAACAAGTCTACCCTGATTCAATGGATCAACTTCCCCAGATCTGATATTCCCTTCAGAGTAAGCGGAACAGGTTTCTCTTTTCCAAGATTTGATATTCCCTTCAGAGTAAGTGGAACAAGTCTACCCTGATTCAATGGATCAACTCCCTCAGATCTGATATTCCCTTCAGAGTAAGCGAAACAGGTCTCTCTTTTCCAAGATTTGATATTCCCTTCAGAAAAGAAGCGGAACAAATCCCTTTCTTCAAGATTTGATATTCCCTGAGTGACAATGGAACAAGTCTACCCCGATTCAATCTTCCCTGAAGAACAGTGGAATGGATCAACATCCTCGGATTTGATATTCCCTCAGTGACAGCGGAACAGATCCCTTATCATATTTCAAACCATGAAGTTGACCAGACAAAAAAACGCACTGTCTCTTTGTCTTTGCCCTATTCTTGTTGACACAAAAATAGGACAAAGAGGGGCAGCTGTTGACACTCATTTTTTTCGTCCTAAAAATATTATTATTATTATTATTAATTATTAATTTATATTTTGCAGACCCAATTTACAAACTCGTATTACAACAAATCCCGGAGCCCAAAAAAAATCAACCCGAATACCCGAAGAGCCGAGACACCTCAGCCGAAGCCAACCGCCGTAGCTGAGCCATCAAGCTTCCACTGAGCCACCATGGGTCGTCACTGCATATGTCAACGAACATCTTCACAATATCAGACAAAATCCCATTCAAACCCACTCAAATCCCACAAACAATAAAAAAATTGAAACCTAATCGTCCATTAAAGAATCCTCAGTGGAACAACCACCAGGATGAAGCATAAAGACAGAGGGCTCGGTTCATCGAAAAAAAAAGGGATAAAGACAGAGGGCTCGGTTTTTCAACAAGGGGAATTCACAGGGGAACGAAAACCTAAAAAAGATCATTTGTAATAGAGGATTGAGCCTCCATTGAAGAAAGACATAACCATTGTATTCAACTTCAATCAAGAATAGAATACTGAACGGAGTTTTTTTTTAAGGTATATATATCATTTTCTTTGTTTGTTTGTTTCTTTTATTCAAATCGAAACCAACAGTGGAATCATAGGCTCATTAGGTGTTTAACAATTTCACATTTCAGCAAGAAATCATACACGAAAATTATAAGCAAAATAAGATTTCGATATAAAAATAATATTAAAACAAAGAGATTTGGGTTGATTTACCTGAGTCGTGCGAATTCCCGTGGAGTCTCGATGACTCCATGTTATTTTTCGTTTGGGTCTTGTTGACCAGTGTGAAGAGCTTAGAAGCTCTTTGATGGGTGTTGAAATCGGCTCTGTGTGTGGCCGAGAAAGAATTGGGAGAGTGGAGAGAAAGGAGGCGCATGTTCTGTGAAGTTGGGATTGGGTTTAGTATATATATTATTTTATTTAAGTTAAATGCTAAGCTAAAGTTACAAACCAAATGGCAGTGTTTAGGTTTAGTGAAACTCACGCCTGGCAAAAGGAAAAATCATGTGTGTGATCCTCTGATCTTTAAATTATTGTGTTTTGGTCTTAAAGTTTCTAAAGTTTCTGTTAATGGCTCCTAAGTTGACGCGTATTTCATATTAGTCCTCAATTCGAGCTTTTTAAGTTTTAAATTTGGTCTTTATATTTTATGCGCATTTGATTTTAGTCCCGGATGCTAAGATATTTTTTTTTAATTTACACATTTGGTCTTCAAGTTTTTGCATGTTCTATTTTAGTCAATTTGGTTTGTTAAATTGAATTTTGCATTGTTTGTGTTTTTGGCCTACTACTTTAAAAAATTTTACTTTAATCCCTATATTTATCATCGGATCCCGTTAACTTTAGTGATAAGGTTGTTTTTTTAGTTAGTGGATCATTGTGCTTATGTTTAAAGTTAGATTCTTTTAATTATGTAATATATTTGTTGACTAACTCACGTGGTTGTTGTGTTATATATATATATATTATGTATGTTTACTTTACTTTTATATTGTATATTAAAAGTATGGTAATTCCCATAATATATTATATGTCTTTTACTTTGTAAACATATATAGTATATAATATATTTTGTAAACATATATTATTTAAGTATATTATATATACATAGGTTATATATAGTAGGTAGAATGTATATCTATTTTATTATCCATATTATGTAATACATATTATAGCATATATGCGTAACATTTTTTTGTATATATATTATAATTATTTTTAGTAATTTACTCATATATATATATATGATTTATGCATATTATTATTTTTATTAAACATCAATTTATTAATATATATATATATATATATATATATATATATATATATATATATTTAGTTGATAATTTAGTATTGGTACAAAATCAATTTTTGTTTGTTTGCATATAGTTAGTCATTTTTTACATGAATAGTATATATCTTCATTAATATCACTTAACTCGATTTGAAATAAATTGACTAAGAGTAATATCGATTATTTTATAATTATCGAAAGAAACTTTCTAATACATGAATATTTAATATATTTTAATATATAACATTAAGTATTAATACTAGAACTTACATTTTAGATTTGAGCCCCTATGTTCCTTAATTTTCATAATTTGACATTTTAAGTTAAAAAAAGGCCTTGATTTACTTTTAGTTTAATTAGGACAAATAAAATTTTATTTGATTGCGTTGTTTTTACAAATCTAAGGCACTGTTCACTTATTTAGGAATTAATAGTATATCCTCCGCGATCGTGCTCAGGGGTGACTACTGGTAATTCCCCAAATAAGTCAACATCCTTTTTAAACCACATCATGTTTTCTAAAAATGAGGCAATGTTCGGTTATTAGACAGAATAGCTGATCTCCCGCATTTACGCTCGGGGGCGAATGCTATCGGTCTCAATAAACGAATACCCTTTTCAAACTCTACATCCTTAATGATTTTTAAATTAAATAAAGATCGAACTCAAAATTTCCGATTTTAAATATAGGGTAATCAACTAGGTACCAATTTTTGGGCGCTTGTGGGGGTGCTAATCCTTCCCCACGCGTAACCGACTCCCGAACCTGATTTCTGGATTTTGCAGACCTCAAAAACTCGGTATTTTATTAAAATAAAAATATTTTAAAATCACCCGGTTTTTATGGTGTTCCAATCTCACCTTAAATGATTGGTGGCGACTCCTCACCTTTTGAAACGATTTTCAAAGAGAAACCCCCCAAGTCGATATCGGTCTTTTCCCTTCGGGCGAAAAACGGTTACGACATCGATACTTTTATGTCAGGTGTCGATACTTTCGAAAGGATAATTACCTATTTCTTTGAAAGTGCCGATAATTTATTACACGTACTTACGAAAGTATCGACACTTTCAATATATCCGGTATCATTTTACCGGTTTTATCATTTTGATACCGGTTTTATCATATTTTTACCTGTTATATCGTTGTGGATCGATATATTTTTTTAAAGTATCGACACATTATAGGCGCTAAAACTGCTTCTCTTTTAAATTCACAAAGTGTCGATCCTTATATAAAGTATCGACACTTTCAATATATCCGGTAACGTTTTACCGGTTTTATTATTTTGTTACCGGTTTTATCATATTTTTACCTGGTATATCGTTTTGGATCGATACATTTTTTAAAAGTATCGACACTTTATAGGATTTAAAATTGCTTCTCTTTTAAATTCACGAAGTGTCGATCCTTATATTAAAGTACCGACACTTTAAATGTATCTGGTAGCGCTTTACCGGTTTTATCATTTCAATACCGGTTTTGTCATAGTTTTACCTATTATATCGTTTTGGATCGACACATTTTTAATTTGGATCGACACGAACCGACAAGTTAAGTTTGCCGGTTGCACAATTTTTTAATATTTCTTCATGACTTAACCTACTACATTATTATTAGTCAACATTTCCGGTAGCGCTAAACCGAATTTATTAAATATCTTTTAATGTATCCGGTAACGCCATATATTAACCGTATATTAATCTGGCTTTCCTGAGACAATCCCATAAGTTTTCATTTCTGGGTTCATTCTCATACCAAATCTAAACAAGGGTCCCACGTTCCTTTTTCTTGTTATATTTCCATACACACAATCTGGAAAACAGTACATGCAAAGCAAACAAAGGGTTGCTAATTTCATTGACAGAATAGAGGAGCCGAAGAAGGATTCGGATAAACTTGTGTGGGATCAGATTCAGGTGAGGAGTCCATCGGGTAACCCGCTTGTTCATGGGTCGTCTTCCAGACCCGTTCCGAGGCTTCTCACGTGGGTTGCTAGAGAGGCGGCGACATGAGGGCCTAGGTGTCCTAAGGGTTTACGACCAAATGCCCGATCCGAGGTGGGTGATTTCAACGGGAAGTTGTGCAAATGGCGGTGGCTACTACCACTACTTGTACTCGGTTGTTAGAGAAAAAGATCAACAGGCGCAAGGATTTCCTCCATTGGTGGTCCAAGCTTCCTTCAACTGCTGCCGCCGAGCTATTGTGTGGAGTCAATGCAAAAGCACTGCTGGATTCCGTTGATGCATTTCTCTTCCACTGCGATGGCGTATTTGGAAGGGTGATAAGCTGATCGACTGAACTCCCGAGACACTAGAAATGTTTCGATCCATGGGGAAGAAGAAACATTGGAAGAAGTTACAAAGGCCTCGAGGACCACCTGTTCATGACTCGTGCAACTCACACAAGTTGAGGAAGGGAGAAGGCAGAAGCACTCACGCGCAATTGAATGTAAATTTCACAGATTTGGGTTTTATGGATTTTCTGGGTAAATTACATCTAAAGCCACTAATTTTTATATATTTCAACTTTCAATCTATAAACTTTACCCTGAATTCAATCTAACCCCTAACTTATTTGTATGATTTGATTTAATATTTTTATTTAATTATTGTTTTATTTTAACTAACATTTTTGTCTTTTCGCAGGTTTTTTTATTTCGTTTATTTATTTAACTTTTAAAATATTAATTTTTTTATATTTTATTTTTTCCCTTTGATTTATTTAATATTTATTTATTATTTCTTATCTAATATTTTTCACTTTTTAGGAGAATTTTTTTAATCGATCCAAGGTAATTATTCGAATTGAATTTTTAAATTTCAATTTAAATTTTCGCATTTAAAGACAACCGACATATTAATTGGTACCGAAAGGACGGTTCAAGGGTGTTAATCCTTCCTTGACCGTAATCGACTCCCGAACCCAACACATTTCTAGTAAAGCGCAGATCAGGTATGATGGTGTCCGATCTACCTAAATATCATTTTAAAATGATCGGTGGTGACTCTAACCCAATCAATTCAAGTCGAAGCCCAATTTCGGGTCCCAACCGAAAGACAGTTCCGACAATACTCAATTCAGTTTATAAAATAGTTGACTTGAAATTTTTTCGATTTGAGTTTATAAAATTTAAATCAAGTCGAATTGAATTTTGGAGTTTACGTTTAAATTTAATTATAAATATTTATCATATTATAATATTATTTGATTATAATTCAGGTCATTTTATAAAATAGTTGACTCGAAATATTTTCGATTTGAGTTTATAAAATTTAAATCAAGTCGAATTGAATTGAATTTTCGATATTCTGTTTAAATTTAATTATAACTATTTATAATATTATAATATTATTTGATTCTAATTTAAATAGTTTTTTTATCATATACAATACATATATTTCTTCATATTTTTTTCATATGTGATATACATATATCATACAGAGTCAAGGGACTTGACTCAAACTTAAAAATTAATCCAATAATTACTAAAAATTTTGAGATATCCGAGTTGTATTTTACAACTGGATTTTAACTTGAAATTTTTTTAAGTTGAGTTTTATGAAATTACAACTCAAATTCAATTTGTATCAAATGTTTTGAATCAATTCAAGTTGAAAAATAATTTTTTCAAATCGAATTGAGTATTGTTCACTTATAGTTGGTTAAATCAAACTTTTAAATCCAAAACCCAACAAAATCACTTATTGTTATGGACCCAAAATGAACTAAATGTTGTTGATTATGTTGGGTTAATTGGTGGGGAAATTTAACATTTAGGGTTATTTTTTTAGGGTTAAGGGTTGTTACTTCAAGTTCAATTTGTTATGGTAGATTTTGAGAATGAATTATGAATTTGGGGTTGGGCATGTAATTAAAGTATTTTAAAATTTGAGGTTTAGAATGTAATTGATGCATTTTAGAATTTGGGGTTTAGAACATAGTTGATGATTATGTTGTAAGTTTTAAAAGTTGGGGACCCAAATGTAAGCACTTGAAAAGTTCAGTGACCATTTATATAATTTATCCTAACAGTAGTGAAACGGCCGTTATGTCGGGGACCATATTGCAAACAAACTAAATGTTTGGTAATTGTATTGCAAGTTTTAAAAATTAGGGGATCTAAATGTAAGTATCTAAAAAGTTCAGTGACCATTTATATACTTTGCCCTAATAATAATTATGACCTAATTTATTTATTATAAAATGTATATTAATATTAAATATAAAACCAGAATAAGATAAAAAAAACACCGAATTAGGATCTGGACGAAAATGGTTTTGGTTGCGAGATTAAAAATGATCCTTATCTCACAGGAGATTGAAACTTATATTTCAAGAAAAATATTTTTAAAAGAATATATTCTGAGAGAAATATTCTCAAAAGAGGATGAATTTTGTTTCTTTAAATGAAATAATGTCAAAAGTTGTGTTTTCAAGAGAAATATGTCTATAGCAAGACAAAACGATCTGTTCCTTCGCGTTAAGGAAGTCTATTCATTTTTTGATGATTCGACCCTTCATTTGAGGACGTTGGGTTTGTTGGTAACATTGTTCATTCCTATTGAGGACTTCTAGTCGCGTTTGAATGATTGTTCATTTGAAGACAACATTGTTCCTTCACGTTTAGGATGTCTAATTGCCTAAAGATAATTTAATTTTGAAAATGGCATTGCTCCTTCATGTTGAATAGATCTAGTCACTTTTGGGTCATTTGTTCGATGTCAAATCTGATGATGATATTGCTTATTCGTATTGATGAGGTCTAGTTTGTGGATGACATTATTCTTTCATGTTGAGGACATCTAGTCGTACTTGGATAATTTGCTTCTTCGCTTGTGGAAGTTAAATTTGTGGATGACATTGTTCCTTCATGTTGAGGACATCTAGTTGTATTTGGATGAGTTATTATTGAAGGCAACATTGCTCCTTCATGTTGAGGAGGTCTAATTGTCTTTAGGTAACTTGCTTGTCGAAGACGACATTGCCCATTCGTGTTGAGGACATATAATTGTGATCATCCTTTCTTTCTTGAAATACTTGTAACAATTGTTGTTGTAACCATCATTCGGGTGGTCCCGGAAAAGTGTTTTGACTTAATTTAATGTGATGGAGTCACCACCGACCATTTTAATTTGGTAGATCAGATACCATAACTTACCGTTGTCTGATCTACAATCAAGGAAAGATTAGCACCCTTGTATTGCCCTTTCAGTACCAATTTGACTTCTCGATTATCTTAATTGCGAAACTTAAAAGTTAAATTAAAATTTAAAAGTTCGATCTGAATTACTTACCTTTGATAATGTTTAGAATATCCCTAAAAATAAAATCAATGTTAAATTGAAAAGATTAAATAAGCAAAAAATATTAAATTAAAAATATTAAAGGGGATTAATTTGAAAAGAAATGAAATACAAGGGTCAAAATGATGCTAAATGTGAGCTGTAAGAAAAATAAAAGGTTAGGGGCCAATTTGTAAAATATGCAAAATATAAATAGGGATTAAATTAAATTAATTCAAAATTCAAAGGCAAAATCACAGCAGGTGACCAAAATAAACTACGCATAAAAAATTGTAGGGACTACAAAAATAATTTATCTTTTTGTTAATTGCACAATGGTCCCCTTATAAATAGCCCATAAAACCCAAAATATTTCATTTTCAACTTTTTCCTAAAAACAAACTCTTTCTCAACTCTCTTTGTAACTCCCAACCAGCCAAAGGCCGACCAGCCGTCGCCCGGATCGCCGCTCCGACCACCGTCTCCGGTGGCCGAAAAAAATCAAAACAACCTAAGAGTGATCTCTTCAACACCCCATAACCAAAACCATGCCCCGATTACTCTACAACTTCCCCAATCGGAGTAGACTTATATTTAAAGATTCAGTTTTTTGCCTTTAGATCTGCGACCTGGCGACCTTCCTTTTCCCGATGAGGCTTCTATGTGTTTCTCAACGACTTCCGACGAAAGCTTTTTATTTATTTTTTTGTGATTTGTGTTCGAAAATTTTGCTTGGTTGCTTGATTGTATCATGCTTGTTTTTTATTGCTCGATGCTTACTTTTTCCTGGTGTCCATGATTCTTTGCAGGGGCTTTATATAGCCTCCTCGATGGTGGTTTTTCCAGGGTTATTTCTCTCGATCTACCGATCCACTCGGGTTATTGCTAACGTTTACCAAGGATCACGAGAAATATTTGTTCCCCATTTTTTTGTGATTTGTTTCGGTTTTACATGCACCGTTTCCTTCGCCGATCGTATTTGTTTGGATGTTATGAGTTGATACATTTTTTGTCAGTCGTCAGGCTTGTAGAGCTCCTATTACTTTAGGGTTCATGAAACCCTAATCTCTGTTGGGTCAGGCAGATGAACTTCCTTTTGTTAGGCTACAACCAGACTTGCTTACTGGGTCAGGCCTGCTAGCTCAATTGAGCTTTGTTGTTGGACTCAAACTCGGACTTGGAATTAATTGTGCCTGGAGATAATAAAAACACATTAATAAAAATAATATATAATAATATAAATATAAATATTAATAGATAATAATATATATATACTATAATATATATAAATATAATATATAATGCATAATAAAAATATATATACTATTATACATAACGTACAATATAATATATAATATATAATATATATACTAATAATGAAAATATATACTATAATACTATTATATAATATATAATATAACATATACCATATATAATATATTATAATATATGCTATTTTAAACAGTCCACTTCAAGTGTCTTGGGCATGATATCCTTCGTCGTGAAGTTGAAATCGTGGGTGACTCCATCGTGAAGTCGAGTCAATCTTGGATGTTTCGAGCCTGATATCCTTCGCTGTGAAGTAGAAATTTAGCTAAAATAAATTGTATTAATTTAATCTCGAGTGTTCTTCAAGTTCAATATCCTTCATTATGAAGTTAAAATTGACTCTGACAAAGATCTGCAAAATTGTACACATGTGTGCAATTCTATAGATGTGATGTTCTTAT